ACACCAGCCCATTAAATAGATCTGAAGGCTAAGATTAAAGACTTTGAATTTAAACACCTGTGAAGTGCCTGTAATGCAAACAGTCGTAAATACCATTTTTTCTCGGGGATGGAGAAGCCCTATGCAGATGCTGCAGACGGAGCACTTACACGGGCGTTACACGAGGCCGGTTTCTTGTCTCTGGTTAGAAAAGGAGCTGAGCTCGGAGCTGGGCGAGGTCTCTGTGGCCACCTGATGATGGCTGAGGCTTTGGCTGACTCAGCACTGGTGAGCACTCGGATTCTGCGGGACGGGGGAAGCCGAGGGCACTGCTCGTTCCCGGGCGCAGGGATGAGCCCGGGCTCCACCGACGCCGCTTCGCCAGCTTCTCCTCCATCAGCCACCTGAAGCGTGACGAGGACGTTATCGCAGGCTGCCCGGGTATCTGCGTTCCCTGGGCTGGGACTGAAAAATCCTGCCGTGGCCTTGGAGCAGACGGAGCAGCAAACACTGTCGGGCTCCCAGGCGAGCGCCGCAGGAGAAGACACCCATCTGCATGGGAGGGGGATTGATGGGAAACACCCATGTCAGAAATTTCATTTTAGATGTCCCCCATTTCTAGAAGATGAGCTTCAAAGTGCACTGTATGCGTTACTTCTTTCGTGGCACCGGTGTTTTTGCCCGGTGGCTGCTTTGCGGGCGCCCGGGGGGCGGGAGGGCGCTGGGGTGGAGCAGGGCTCTTCTCCGCTTCAGGTGCTGCTGCGGAGCGGGCACCCTCACAGAGAAACACAGAATCACAGAATGGTAGGGGTTGGAAGGGACCTCTGTGGGTCACCCAGTCCAACCCCCCCGCCCAAGCAGGGTTACCTATAGCAGGCTGTAGAGGACCTTGTCCAGGCGGGTCTTGAATATCTCCAGAGAAGGAGACTCCACAACCTCCCTGGGCAGCCTGGGCCAGGGCTCCGTCACCCTCAGAGGGAAGAAGTTCTTCCTCATGTTCAGACGGAACTTCCTATGCTTCAGTTTGTGCCCATTGCCCCTTGTCCTGTCACTGGGCACCACTGAAAAGAGCTTGGCCCCATCCTCCTGACACCCACCCTTCAGATATTTGTAGGCATTTATAAAGGCCACGGACCCTGCCCTCTGCCCACCGGCTGCACCCCGAGCTGCGCAGCTCAGCGCTCCCCTGCGCTCGTTACGGAGAAGGGGGATTTCTGCAGCTCAACTCCCCGTATTTCTGAGCCAAACTGCACTGACCAGAATTTCACAGAGGGGGAAAATGTTGCAGCGCGACAAGGCACGCGAAGCACCTACCCCGAAACGGTGGTTTGAGTACAACGCCCCGGTAAATCCGTCCCAGCGGAGCTGGAGCGTGGAGAGCAGCGGGAGAGCTGCCCAGCTCCGGGGGCCCTCCAGCGCCAGGCAAACCGCTGGGACCTCTGAAGGGCCCCCAGGAGGAACCAGGCATCCCGCTGCTTGTGCGAGAGTGATTCTGCTGCTGGGGGGGTCTCGGGCAGCCCTTCCCAGCACTAAATCAATCAAAAAGAATTAAACAACCAGCAAAGAGAGGAAAAAGCTACTTTTGTCTGACCTGGGATGCACTGGTTTGCTGTGAAGGGTCTGTGGCATCGTGGGGCAGGAGTTTTCTCACCTGGGAGGGTTGTACTTTTTTATTATGAAAGGGATGGAAGATCCCCGAGGGACGTAGTTAATAAGACTGAATTAAAACTTGTTTGCACTGACAAATCTGATTGGCTTCAGCAATGCACTGGGCCAGCCACCTTCAGCTGACGGTAGCGCTTCATGGCAGTTCAGGTAGGAAGGTGTTCCCTGATTTCTGAAGAAGGCTTTGATTTCGACCTGCTGAAGGATTCGGGGGCTGCCTGGATGGGTGTCAGAGCTCCTGCTGACAGGAGGGGCTGGGGCGCAGACACGTCACTTAAAGGCTGTGTCACATCTTTACCACCTTGTATTTGCCACCATTCTTCCCCAGAGGAGACTATTTTCACACCAGTATAAGGTCCCCACCAGCTGAAAAGGAATGAGCAGCAGGTGAGATCATGCACTGGGCAAGAGCCCTGGCGCCAACGTTGACCCATGTTTATGGGAAAGCAGGTCGCTGTTGGAAGCTGAGGTGGATTTAGCCCCTCAAAAGCCCCCAAAATTGGCCCAGAATTGGGTGCGAGCCCGCAGGCAGCACGGGACGGCAGAGGAGGAGGCTGCCTGGCAGACGGTGGGGCCGGCAAGGAAGGCATGCAAGGGGTTTGATAAGGAAGGAATAATAATAATAACCTTCTCGGCTGGGCCAGAGCTGAGCCTGGCGGCGTTTACACACAGGCACGAAACTTCCTGAGCTGGAAGCGCAGCCTTTTCCGCTGGCTCGGCACCGGCCCTGCTCGGCCACGGCCGCGCGCAGCATTTCCCTCCATCTGCACGTTGCAGCGAAAGCTTTTGTTTTGCCAAAGCCATTGACTGTAACTTCATTGTCTCTGCTTGGCTGCAGGACATACCCTGAGCTGTGAAAAACGCACCTGACGTTTGGTTAGAGCTCCTGCTTGTGACGGAGCGAGTAGTGCTGACTTGATAAACAACTGCCAAAAACAGAAAAGCCAAGCCCAGCTCCCTCTCCGACCCCGCGGTGCAAACCCAGCCTCCGGGAGAGCTTCCCCCGCGCTCCGCCGCAGCCGGGGCTCTCGGCAGAGAAAGGGATTTCTCTTTCCTGCGTCTGCTCCCCTTGCAGCCAGGCTGCGGCGTTCAGAGCACCCCAAACTACAGCAACACTGGCAGGGGGGGGTTCTGGCCGGATTCTGTACCCCCCCCAGAAGTACCTGGTGCTGTTCCCGTGTCCAGGAAGACTGGGAAGGGTCGGGCATCCCAGCGAGGAGCGGGCCGGGTCAGGGAAGACGCCCAGCCCCAAACCTCCTGCCTTCAGCGGGGCTTGAGCATCTCCCCAAGGACGGGCGCTAACGGACCGCCGTGCATCGCCCTGCGCGTTCTCCGAGGCAGGAACCGTGGCTGGACATCGCAGAGTGAGGAAGCCTTCATCTTCATCTTCACGCACACACACTCACACGCGTGGACACCCACCCCAGCCCTGCAGATCGCTCCATGACACTGGAGTCTCGTTTATTTATCCAGGAATTAGCTGGGCATCTTAAACACCAGAAAATCAAACAAACGAGGTTTCGTAAAGCGACGTACGTCACCCGTCCTGCAAACCTGCGTGTCGAAAGGCTGCGAAAATCTGCACAGAACAGGCCACAGCCTTCAGGCATCTGATTTCTGCTGGAAACAGCCTCACCACGAGGCGTTGTCCTCTCGTCGTGCTGGCACACGGCGCAGCCAGAGCCACGCGTCCCGGTGGGATAAACCCGCTCTTCTTCCAAGGACACAACGGAGAAGCTGATTTTTAATACTCACTTTTTTTTGTCATCTGGGATTATTTACAATGAGATTTGGGAGAAACAATTCACACCAAAACAAACAAAACCTGAAATATTTTAAACCGCATTTAAATGACTCTCGCACCCACGAAAACAGCCCCAGACAACGACGGACGTTGCTGTCCTTCCTTTAAGCACTGTACCAAAAAAAAGCGCCTTCCCCTCAGCTGGTCAGCACCGAGAAAAGGTTGTGATAAATTCACTGGTGGGAGGGTAGCTCAGCTTCAAGGGCCATTTTTGTCCTTATTTCGGATGCGGAGGTCACCGCCGGTGCCGCAGAGATTGTGGTGAGAGGAACGTTCGCGGCACCGCCGCCTCC